AATAGAGGAGACAAACCTTGCCATTCTTGCCTCCAAGAAGCAGACTGGCTTTACTTCTTCCAGGACAGACTTGCTTGTTCTTTTGGCAGTCCATGGTACTTTGCATATTCTTCCCCAGCACCACAATTCAAATGCATCGATTATTCTTCAGTCTTCCTTAGTCAGTGTCCGACTTTCACACGCATATGAGGGCATTGCACACACCTTGGCTTGGGTCAGGAGCTCCTTACTCCTCAAAGAACCCTCCCAGCAGAGGCATTGTGCAGCAAATGTACTGCTCGGCTGTTATCTTGTCCTACTGGGGTAGGGCTTGTGTGTTGCCCTGGAGCTGGAAGTTCTGTCACAGGTATTTCAAATGCCAGCAGGATCGCCACTCTTCTTACGTTACTTTAACTGTCCAGCAAATCCCTTCTGAGGAGTCCAGGAGTTAAGGAATGCAGACTCTGCTAACTTTTTTGGGGGGGTGGGGGGGTGACAGCTTTGTGGTTGTTAGGTGCTGTTGAGTGGGATCCGACTCATAGTGATCCTCTACAACAGAAGGAAACACCGCCCCGACCTGCACCATCTTCACAATGGCTGTGATGCCTGAGCCCTTCAGTTGGCTGTATTTGACATCGTGCATTTTCTTACTTCTCTAGTGCTGCTGTAACAACACTAGCACAGGCGGATGGTTCTCACAAATTTATTTCCCAACAGGGTGCTGGAAGTCCAAACTCAGGGCTCCAATTCCAGGGGGAAGGCTTTCCCTGTATAGGTTCTGGGGAATGCTCATCTCTGTTTGTTTCATGGTTCTTTGGAAATCTCCCTGTGGCTCGGCATCCATGTTCCCTGTTTCTGCTTCTGTACCTTGCTTGTTTAATCTCTTCATATCTCAAAGGAGACTTAAGACCCATCTTACACATTGGGCCGCTAAGTGCAAGGTCAGCAGTTCAAAACCCCCAGCCACTTAGTGGAAGAAAATGAGGCAGTGTGCTTCCATTAAGATTTACAGACTCAGAAACCCACAGAATCAGTTGTACACTGCCCTGTTGGGTTGCTATGAATCGGCATTGACTGGATAGCAGGGTGGTTTTTTATTTTGTTTTATACAAATACTGGATCATGAACAACAAAGAACCCATTCTCAAATGAGATGATAAATACAGGCGTACTAAACTCATCAAACTCACTGCTGTCTAGTTGATTTCTGCGCACAGTAACCACATAGGACAGTAGACCTGCCCCTGTGGGTTTCTGAAGCTGTAAATCTGTAGAGGAGCCAATAAAGCCAAACCAAACTCACTGCTTTTGCGTCAATTCAGAGACATAGCTACTGTATGACAGAGTAGAACTGCTCCTGTGGGTTTCCAAGACAAGGCTTCTTTCTCTTTTTCCTGCAGAATGGTTGGTGGCTTTGAACTCCTGACCTTCCAGTTAGCAGCCCAATGCATAACCACTGTGCAACCATGACTCCATAGAATGTGAAAACCGGATCTTTCTCGAATTAGCTGTTGAGTTTTGTAGCATATTTTGGGAGGACATAAAAATCCATAACATGTATAAGTACATACTTATGAAACCACAAGATAGCGACTGTGTTCATCACCTCAGAAGATTACTAATACGCCTTTGAAATCTTTACCTATTGACCATCTCCAAACACCCATTGATTTGCTTTCAGTGCACGGGCATCTTTGCATTGTTTAGGTTTATCGGTACAAGAAACTGTATTCTACAGTGAGATCCATGAGAGTTGGACTCAATAGAATGGCCTTGATTTTTGGGTCACTTATTTAGAAGTCAAAAAAAAAAATCCATGCATTTGCACTACGGTGCTGGCAAAGAATATTGAAAGTAGCATGGACTGCCAGAAGAACAAACAGATCTGCCTTGAAGAAGTACAACCAGAATGCTCCTCAGAGGCAAGGAGGGCAAAACTTCATCTCACGTACTGTAGACATGTTAGGAGAGACAGTCCCTGGAGAGGGACATTGAGCTTGGTAGAGTGGAGGGACAGAGATAAAGAGGAAGGCCCTGCATGTGATGGACCGACACGATGGCTGCAAAATAGGAATAATTGTGAGGGTGGTACAGAGCTGGTTCGTTGTGTTAGTCTGGGTTGACTAGAGAAACAAATTCATAGACACTCGTGTATAAGAAAGAACTTTATATAAAGGGTACTTGTATATTAAGGAAACATCCCAGCCCAGTCTAGATCAAGTCCATAAGTCTGTTATTAGCCTATATGTTTGATACCAGTCTATAAATTCCTCTTCAGACTCAGCAACACATGCAATGATTCTGAATGCAGGAAGATCACAGGCCAGTGGGTGGAAAGTCTTGTGGATTCAGTGGTGGTGGAAGCATCTCAGTGCTGGCGTGGGTCTCCACGTGTCTCCTCCAGCTTGAGGGCTCTAGCGTAGCTTCATGTGTCTTGTCAGCAGGAAGACAAAGCAGAGAGTGTATCTGGCCTCCAGTGAGCTATTTCTCTCCTTTGTGCCTCCAATTGTGGTCATCAAGCTGCGACCTGATTGACAAGCCAGACTCCATCCCTTCCCAAGTTGACAGGAGGTTATGTAACTGCCACAGTAGTGTTTTATTCTTTTGTACGAGGGTCGCTATGAGTCGGAACCCACATGATAGCACCAAACACCACCATCAACAACACATTTTCTGCCTATGACAGGGTGCTTCTATTAGTGCAGCGGTTCTCAACCTGTGGGTTGCAATCCCTTTGGGGGTCGAAGGACCCTTTTACAGGGATCGCCCAATTCATCACAGCAGCAAAATTACAGTGATGAAGTAGCAACGAAAATTATTTTGTGGTTGGGGGGTCACCACCACATGAGGAACTGTATTAAGGAGTGGCAGCATTAGGAAGGGTGAGAACATATTTGCGTTATTCTTTGGCAGATTTTCGGCTCGCAGAGTTTCCAGCTTTGGCAGGTTTGACTCTTGGTGGTCTGTTGACTGCACTAGTCTTTTTGTGTGGCTCCTTTCTCTCAGCCTGTGTCAGTAGTTCATTCCCCTTCACTACTGAGTGGGGCGATATAACAACCCTGGTGGCACACATCATTAAGTGCATAAGCGTCAGTCACAAATTAAGTAGCTAGAAAGCAGAAGGCCTGGCGATCTGCTTCCCTAGAGAAGACAGCTTAGAAAGCCCTCTGGGTTCACTCTGCCCTGTGTGTCTGTGCCTTGGAATTAGCATGCTGACACCAGGCAGTAACTGACAGCAATAGTGTTACAAGTTCATGGGGAAGTTCCATTGCCTTTTAACTACATCTCTCCACGAACTTTCAAAGTCCCTCATGGAGCCCTGGTTGCGTAGTGGTTACAATGCAGCTGACTGCTGACCACAGGTCAGCAGTTTGAAACCACCAGCCACTCTGCGGGAGAAAGACAAGACTTTCTGCTTCCATAATGAACTGCCGTCTCAGAAACTCAAAACAGAGGCAGTTCTACCCTGTCCTATAGGGTCGCTATGAGTTGGAATCTACTTGACGGCAGATTCCTGTGCCGTGATTTGTGTACTTACTTATTTGTTGGTGAACATTAGCGTTTCTTCTACTCTTTGCCGGCTTTGAGTAATGGGCCTGGGACTATTTGCTTCTAAATTTGTGTGGCTTTCTCTTGCTTAACATTTTAAGAAACTGTTTGCTGCCAAATGGATGCACCATTTTACGTTGCTACTAGCTGGGTTTCAGCAGCCGGATTCCTCCACACCCTCACCAACACATGTGAGCGAGTGTGACATCCCCTACCGAGGGACACCAGGATTGGCTGGAAAATAGGCACAGTGTGCCCCGTTCTACATTTCCACATGCGAAAAGAAGAGGCGATAATAATTTGCAACGCTGGACTTCATAGCGCCTGGTTACTTAGTAATGCATCTTTTAAAGTATTCCATTTTTAAGAAATCACCCTCTGAATTATAGATCTAGACAGATTAACCTTAGAAATACTGCTAATCATACAAATACTGCTGAAGGTATTTCTAAGCATTTTAGAGAAGTGTTTCTGTATTAACCATGTATCCTGTAGCCACTTGAAAATCTCATGAAGACTATGGGTTCTCTCCTGGGGAAAGTTTTTAAAATGACACTTGGTTAAGTATGAGGGACGCTTTGCCTTTATGCAGTGCGTGGAGATAGTTTCTGCTTCCTTGGCTTTACTTATTCTCAACAGGTAATCTTGATTAACTTATCATCATTATTTTTTTTTGCTGCTTACTGTCTTCCTTGTTCTCCCTTGCCTGTCAGCTGCCCAATGGTGTCACGTACCACACGGGGACATACCAAGACCGGTTGGCAAAGCTCCAAGACCACCTCCGCCAGCTCTCTGTCCTCTTCCGGAAGCTGAGGCTGGTCTACGACAAGTGCAGCGAAAACTGCGGCGGGATGGACCCCATCCCAGTGGAGGCAAGTCTCACTTCCAGTGCACCAGTGGCTCCTCTGATGGGGGATCAGTTCAGGAACGCTGTCCCTCTGTTTTTCCTTCTCCGTAGCAATATTTCTAGCTTTTGAATGATATTAGCTTATTCTTTGGTCAGTGCAGCTGAAATTGTGATATAGGTAATACACGTAGCGTGAATACTGTTTGTATTTTTCCCCTTTAAAAACTTAATAGCTTTCTGATCTCCAGGCTGCTGGTGTTGATGTTGGTGGTGATTGAGAGACAGGGGAGGGGAGTGCCTGTTGGGTTTTATCGATGTTGTTAATGTCTCCTTTGAGTTAATATTGCATGGATTTTAGGTTTATGAAATACTTTAAGAATACTTTTCCCAGAAGAACGTTATACACATAAATGGTTTTTTCATTGTTATTAATTCAGATTTGAGGCTTAGTCCTATGGAGCCCCTCCATATGAAAACCCATTCTCCAGATTGAGACCGGATTGTGGGTTATGTTAATGAGGTAGAGGGTGTTCTGATGGACACAGCCCTCCCTGTTGACTGGTGACCTCTGGGAGCAGTGGCAGCTGAAGGCTGCTGGCTCTTACGGGCAGTGAGGGTTTCATGTCATCAGTGCATCCCTTTGGCGCTGTTGGCATGTGAAGGAAGCTGTGTTAGTCTGGGTACTTCAGAGAAACAAATCCACAGAAACTCACATGTATAAGAGAGAGTTTTATATAAAGGGTAAGTACACATCAAGAAAATATCCCAATCCAGTGCTACCCAAGCCCACAATTCCAACATTAACCCAGTAACCCATATGTCCAACACCAGTCCACAAAGTCCTCCTCCATCTCACAAAACAGACACAATGATGCCGACTGCAGGAGGAAAGCTGAGTCAGTGAATGTGTCATCTCAGCGCTGGCAGGGGTCTCCACACGGCTGCTCCAGCACCCAGGGCTGCATCGGGGTAGGTCCATGTGGCTTCTCCTTGGGGATGTTTTGCAGGAAGAAAGCCTTGCCAGCTGAAGCAGGGAACTGCTAAGGCAGCTGCACCCTGGTGCGACCATCACAAAACAAGAGACCCGAGAACTAGAAAGGCGAGGCTCACCGAGCCATTTATCCCTCTGCCCTTCAATTAACCCCAGATGTATTTATTGGCCAGGCTGGCACAATAAACTAACTAACTCAGAAGGACAAGGGAAGGGCACACTGTGAGAGCCCGGCAATAAGGGATCAGGAAAATGGCCATTCTCCGATGCTGCAGGCAAGTCAAGGGAAATGAAGAGCAGACACTGTCCATAGCTTTTCTGCAGGGAGCCTCTTGTCTGTTCAGTAGAGCGTTCAGTGAATTGTGGCAGCCAGAAACCAGATTGCAGTGGGTTGCAGATTAAACAAGAACTAGGGAACTAGAGCCAGCAAGTGACTATCAGTCTACCAGGAGGTTTAGAGTGGAACAAGAGAGGGAAGCAGTGGCTGGGAGAAAGGTTGGGACCCAGGGTTCTTAGTCTTCTCCTCCAAATGGGGCGACCAGGACATGTTTTCCAATGATGAAGGAAGACAAGAACAGGCCCAGAAGGAGAGGGGGGGCATGAACAGTGACGACACTGAGGGCGGGCAGCCCAGAAGGGAGACGAATTGCCTTCCAAGGAAGGAGAGCTGGGCATCCAGAGAGGAAGGGAAGAAGGGTGGATGTGGGTGCATGGGGAGCTGTTCCAAGAATTTGATGAAGTCAAGCCAGATGGCTTTCCGTTCTCCCACAGAGTTGTGCGCTGCCAGGAGAATCTGTGTGGTTATTTATCCCTGCTCCCACATCAGTGATAATAGGCGGCAGACTAGATGGTCCTTGATGGCTCTGTCACATCTGCCCCCAAACCCACTCGTGGTGGCCCACAAAGGCAGGGCTAAAGTGCTCCCTTGGAGTGACTGGTGGGTTTGAATGGCTGGCTTTTTGCTTAGCCCTCTGTGCCACCAGGGCTCCTCTGGGTCATATCTAAGAGGTTATACTGCTGTCCTTCGGATACCTAGGGCTTTTTCCCTAGTAAATTTTACTGTACATACTTCACTTTACGTCCATTAGAAGTTCAATTTCTACCTGATGTTTTCCTCCTAAAAACCACCTGGCAATCAGAAGGGGACAACACCTAGAGGTGTGTCAGACGGAGCGGGTCTAGCTGACATGTTGCTGCCATTGCTATCAGGGCGCATCAGAACGTGGAAAAAAACGAATGAAAAGATAGTGGAATATTTCTCCGTGCCTTTTGAAGCTCCTTCATCTAGTGCCCATCCACGAAGTTCCTTTTCCTCTAGTGTAAGAGAAGAAAAACTACATTTTGTAGGGGCCACGATCCCAAGCGTCATTGTTTTTCCAGGGTGTCACCGAGTGTCTGGCAGTTAAATATCTGTTGCGTGAATGAGTGTATGTGGGTGCTGTATCATGTGTGACCGCCATGTTGTGAACGCTCTTTAGCAAGAGACACCCGACATGGAAATGAGAGCCTTCGACAACCGTGATTTCAGGTTGTCTCCTGGGCGGAACCGTACTGCTATTTAAACTGGGGAAGCTTGGCAGTTCACCGCTGTCCGTGCGCATTGCCCGTACACGTGTGTCATAATGCTGACTTCTCCTGTTTGTCCCTCGCAGCAGCTTATCCCATATGTGGAAGAAGATGGCTCGAAGAATGATGCCTGGGCCGGCCCGCCTCGATTTGCCAGTGAAGAGAGGAGAGAAATTGCCGAAGTAAATAAAGTGAGTGATTCATCTGTACATTTTATATTTTGAAATTAACCAATGAAAACGTCAAGGGAATCTAATGTGGCTCACAAACGCCATTTGAATTAGAGTTGTGGTGTCTGATGCGCTGAACCTATTAAGAGCCTATCCCCAAACTGAAAGGTAAGCAGAAATACTGTCTGAACGGTCAGAGGAGACACCACAAAATGCTTGCGATTGACGCTCTTAGAAAAGCTCCGTCAGCACTCGGTCGCAATCCATTTGCTTTTTCTCTTCTAAGCAGAATCCTAGCTTCCTAGCACCCAGCACAGTTGGAGCAGCAAATGACCAAAATGTACAATAAGAGGCATGGAGGTCTGAACACCTGAAAATAGAGTTATCAAAGCATTGCCTTAGCCAATACCATCACCCCCTAACCCCCTCTCCCCCCCAAAATTCCCAGGCTTGAATGCATGTATTGCCGAATACAGTACTCCCAAAGATCAGAAGGTAATGCTCAGATACTTTTCATGAAACAGAGAAGGCGGGCCTACCAAAACCTCTGCGTACCAAAACCTACCTATCTACCTGTCTCTCTCTTCCTCTCCCTCTCTTTGTCTCTCTCTCACACACCCTCCTGAAATTCTCAATTCCAATTCATAAATTCTTCAGTGTATCCACCCAAACCAAGAGCATTTACCTGTTGTATATAAAGATCACTTCATTTACTTACATAGTTTGCCACTGGAGCAAAGGCGGTGACTCCCCTCAGAATACCTGGAAGACATTCTCTAGAGTTCCTGTTACTCTGTTTCCCTCTGTCGAGATGCCACGCCCCCTGAAGGTGATTCTTCTGCAACTCTGTCCATGCCCGGGCCTTCTCATTGTTAGCCCCAGCCCTCCTCTTCACTGTTTTCTTCCTGATTCTTTAAACATGTAGTCTCACCATGGGGGGACAGGCCGGGGGTGGTGGTGGTAGGGGGATGGGCAGGACTCCCTCCTCCTCCATCTTTCCTTGCTCACTTCAGAGTTCTGGTAACAAAATTAATACACGATGGATAATACTGTCTTATAATGCTCCAAACCATTTTGCCTATTCCAAATCTTACGCAAAATTCCAACAACAAGCATTAAGCAGGTTGGTAGAGCCTCTGTGCCATCTGAATAGAGGTTAGCCATTTGACTCGTGAAGGCGACAGAAGCTCCTGTGTGGGGCACTGTTTGCTGTAGGCAGACCCGGGAGACACCGCATAGGCGGTTCCAGACCCCCGCAATAAAGCGAGAATCATATGCAAGCCAGTCCCGTGAATGTGGGGGTTTTCCAGTGCCAGTAAAATTTATATTTACACTGCACTGCAATCTGCCACGCAGGAGACGAGGGAGGCTGTGTTCCCGTAAGGGTTTTTGAGAAACTAGGAAGGCCACAGGGAGTAGGAGTCAACTTGATGGCAGTGAGCTTTGAGATCGTCTATTAAGATGTGATAGCATTGTGGGAAAGTGGGAAATTCTGTGAGCGGTGCCAAAGGTGCCAGAGACACCAAGGGAGCACCTGCTGTTGGCTTTCCTGCCGCAGCCTTGCCATCAACCTTCTCTGTGTAAAAGACACACTATCTGGTGCGCCGCAGAACAAGGTATGCCGAAAAGAAAATAATCGTCTCAGTTATCTCCTCGTCATAATGCAGTAACAACCCCAAACACACAGGGATTTTCTTAAAAATACACAAAGTAATAATACTTAGTGATAAAAGTAATACATAGGCGTTTTGTATAATGTCAGTGCACATCTAGATTTTTTTCCCTGAAAATCTAAAAGAATATCAAAGAAAACTAATAAGAGTAATAAAGTGGAACTCTCTACAAAAATGTAAGGATATCATGTGGCATATTATACTGTCAGCAATCAAGTGTGTAATGCTGGCACAGGAATAGACAGCTTATTGAAGACTAGCCACCCAGACTGCCTTCCAGTTGTATATGTGAGTAATACGACAGAGAAGGGACTGTGTGGAAAACTCGTCTTTGAAATAGAACCTTTGGGGGGAAATTAGCCTGCCTTTACGTCACACCAGATGTCACAATGCATTTCAGAGTTGGGAAAAAACCTGCGGAGCACAGTATTGAAATTTTAAGGAAAACACATCTCAAAACTCAGGAGAAAGTAAAAAAATGGATAAGTGACAAATAGAGAAAGCATTGTAATGTTTTTGCTTTTAAAGGAAAGTGCACCGATGAGAAGAATACTTGCAGCACATGTGATGCTCATGGATGGCTGTCACATGACTGATGTCTATAGGACGTTAATAGGGTCTGAGGAGGGTGTTGGGGACTTTCAATTTAGATTTGGCAGAGTAAATCATGTTCAGCTGTCCAGAGATAGGAAGCATTGATTTATTAGAAAGGACCAAGTCTCTGACTTAAGACTAACTCAAGATACAAAACACCACGCGAGTGACGGTGTTGTGGAGTGTGTCTGTATTGCTTGTAATGTGTTCTTGATACAGTGTGGTGGTAGGGCACACTTGGTGAGATGAGTCAGGTTTTCACTATCAGATGTTATGTGTTGTGCTTCCAGATCGAATCTGTAGATGTGGTTAGGTGCCATCGGGTTGGTTACAACCGAAAGTGACCTTATGCACAGCAGAAGGAAAAACTGCATGCTGTGCCATCCTTACAGATTGTAGAATTTATAGATACAGATAATAGAAGACAATAATAATGAATAATTTTTAAAAAAAGTACGTTCCATGTTCCTAGGTTACGAATTATCAGTTTATGTACAACCAACTCCCCTAAAGCCTAGTATATGTAAACTGCGAGCCACATACAGTGTTTCATAATTAACAAACAGATACTACTCTGGTACGCATCAAAACGTTGTTGTATTATGTATTAGTAAAGCTAAAGATGCTTTACTTTGCCTGGAAATATTTTTCATGTATAGAAAAGCATACTAGATTCTCTATACAATGACCAGCATTTGACTAACACATTAGCTATGAACCTTATCTTAACCGTTCCAATTTATTTACAAATGCAGCTTACAGGTTAGCAATAGAGCTTTTCCATTATCCAGGGACTGCCGATATTTTGACATGTCAGAATTAATTTACAACACAGTCGTCAGAACAGAACCTGTCATATGTGGGGGCTTCCCATTAGAATGTATTTCTGTTGATAATTTATACTAAAACCCATCGCCATCAAGTCAATTCCAACTCGGAGACCGTGTATGGGGTTTCCAGGTCTGTAGAGCTCTATAGGTGACGGTAGCCTCTTCTGAAAGCTTTCAGGGTCTCTTTCACCCTCGTGGGGGTGGGGTGGGGGTGCTGTTCCTTTGTTTTTCAATGTAGAGGGATCCATTCAAACTAGAAAATTGAATTTAGAACTTTTATTTTTTCTTTTAGCAAGATGGACTTATTTGTTCAGAAAGATTTTGTACCTGACACAACTGGCCGTTCATTTTGATGTGCTAGCTCACAGTCTCCCGTTAGTCATTTTCCCCACTTAAAATAGCTGACCGTTCGGCCAACTAGAAACGGCAGGCCGCACGGTGGTGAGTTGTCATGAACTGATTTTTTTTTCAATCTCTTTTTCTTTTTGTGCGCTTTCCTCTTCCTAGAGTGCCCTATAATTTGTATTTGGACCGCTCAGATTTACCTTATAGAAATTCATGGATTCTTTCATATAAAGTTTTACAATTCCTTCTAATCTCTAAGAATTTTTTTGTTTTTTACAAGAGTTAGGTGTCCCTTTTTGTAGCTAACATTTCTGGTATCAATATTAATTTTTCCATTGTTTTAATTGTTTTCTTTTTTGTTTTTGTTAGTTTTATTATTTACTTTATCTGTGTTTCTTTCCCCCCCTGTGCATTTAGTTCTCTGTGGTACTGGTGAAGGCCTTTACGTTTCTGTGACGCATTTGCTACTTAACCTTGAAGGACTTAGATGCAGCAGTTTTAAAGAGTTTATGGAACATTTTCATTCTCTTCATTCCATTGTTCCATACACTTTTTGAAGCCTCAGTATATGTAACACTAGAAACCAGCTGGGGGAGCTTTGCCTTAGGGTCATCAGGAAACTGTCCGTTTGGGGTTTTGTTTGTTTGTTTCTGTAGAGTTTTTTGGTATCTTCAAGAAAGAATCTTCCAGAGCTCTCCTTGGGGAGATGCAGTCTTGTCTTTCTGGCAGCTTAGTGTCAGTGGTGTCCTGGGCTCCCACAGTCCCAGGAGCCCTTTTGTTGAGTCCGTGGGCCTCATTCCTGTCTTTTGCTGTGCTGATGCCATCCAGCCTGAGCTGTTCCCTGGGCAGGAGGGCCAGGCTGAGGGGGAAGGTTCTCAGTCACCTGTAGGTGAGGGCTGGCCTAGGGCCCAACTTGACTTTCATCTGTTCCCTTTATTCCAAGCCCGGAGAATAGTACTGCTGGCCCTGTCTCTGTTTTTCCCTGGTGAAGCAGCCTGAGGCTTATCCCTCCTGCGCTGTCACCAGGGTTGTCACTTCTTCCCCTTAGCTGAGCCTTTTCCCACCCTGTGCTGCCCTTCCTGTGGATGATGTCCACCACCTGGCACCTGCTCCTGTCACATGGGCTTTTCCATAGCTTTTCTAGTCTGCTTCTGCCTCTTTATTAGGGCTCTGAGCAAAGGAAGACATTCACACATGTATTTCAACCAGATGTTGATTGGGAACAAGGTTACTTTAATATACAAAATAGACAGTGTTTCTGAAAATACCTCGTGATTGACTTAAAGATAGTATTTCAAATTTTGTTTTCCCATTTATTCTTCAGACATTTGGGAAGTGGCCCTCTGATTAAACTAGCTTGATCTATTGAATTTGTTCTTCTAGATACTTTTAGCTTTGGGGTAAGCCATGCTTTTGTTAATAATATATACCCGAAAGTTATTAAAAAGAGGAGCGAAATGAGCAACTGATATTAAGCGCTAAAGTAGAAGGCAAATGTTTTGAGAATGATGAGAGCAACACAAATGTACATATGTGCTTGACACAATGGATGTATGTATGGATTGTGATAAGAATTGTA